CTGATAAAAAAAAAACTTTACAGGAAGCAACATCTAAAAGTAAACATGAGGTTTGACCCCTTGGTGATCACAAGACGATCATGAGATGTTAACTCTTATGGGAAGGTTTTTTGAAAGCAAATGCAGTAGAGCTTGTTCAATTTGTTTGGTTTACCGTTTAATTCATTTAATTGTACGTAACCAATAACGCAAACTCAAGCTTACACGTACACTTGGACAACGAGACAAGTTTATGACAAACATCTGTGATGAAACGTTCGAGCTCAGGTCACGCGACATATTAATTACAGGAACGAAATTAAACCACATGTACAACAAAATCGAGGCAACAACGTGAGCTCAGTGAGTTGGAAAATTGAATTTTCAAACCTTGAAATGTAGTCGATCTTTGGTCTCGAAGCGAACATCCACCGCCAAATTTTCGATTTCATTTCCATACGGTCCCGGATGACCTTTCTTTGTGAGACTCAGCAGATATCCAGTTTGAGTCTTCTCCTTGTTCACAACTTGATAACCATAGTCGTTTGGATAAAAACAATATGGTATATCGAGGGGTACGTGTACGTTCTCCTCCTCAATGGTTGGTTTGGCCCAGCAACATCCACGGTTCACACAAGATTGTTCGTTTGCGTCGCCTTCCGGGTAACAGTCGAACCGAAGACTGTTAGGAATGTTGGAGCATCCTTGCTGAGCTCGTCCATGATCAAGCTGGAATACCGAGACCAAAATTAGCAAAGTCAACTTCCAATACATGGCTCACCCGTACAGGTACGACGGTGCGACTAACAATGAAAGATTTTAAAAGAATACACCTTTTTAAGGTGCCTTGTCAACGAGCAGTTAGTGGAAAGATGTCACGTGGTATTTTGCCAGCGTGAGCAATGCATGCTCATGGCGCACCACAGTTTCTATTTCTATTTTTTCATCATTGCGCAATTTTCTCTAATTTTTCCCCTGCTTCTTCGTCCATCCCTATATGACTGGAAATTTGATGAAAAAGCAACATGCAAGCTCAATTATTGATAAAAAGTGAAAAAGGAAATAATAATGAATTAATAATGTTACTTATTATAAGTATCCGCAGTCACGCCCGGGTCATATCTCGGTAGGGAGATGATTGAGGGAACTATTTAAAGGAATGGGTAATCTATCAGTTTTTTTAGATATAGAAAAAAAATATGCATGATCAGAGCTCATACGAGTGAGTTATGTAATAATTGAATTAATGTAAAATATATTTAAGCCCGTAAACATAAACTCATAGCTATTGCTTCTTTTTAGTCAATGAAGGTTAATATCGGTTTTAAAACGGAAAGATTCAGATTTATCCGAATTGTGTTAGAACGTAACCACCGAACTGATGTGAGCCATTCCGTGGGCATCTGCTAGTTCAGCAAAACCTCATGGGGTCTGGGACTACAATAGAACGTAAGCTCAGGACTTGTCAGGTGGCCGGTGTTTTGAGGGGTGAAAAAAACCTCTCCTGGCCTCTCCTCACCGTAGCAGTGATCTTTACAAGTTTGAAATCAGCTGAAATAAAATTGAAAAAAAAAAAAAAAAAAACAGGGAATATTTCCCACACGTCCTACAGACCATTCACCTGTTTTTTTTCTGTCATGAACAATTGCGATAACAAATATATTTCGTCAAGTTAAAATGTAAGTCACTCTCGGAGTTTTCCCTTCGCAGTAAACATTTTATGGTGTTGTATTCAAATTCAAATATCACACAGGAAAAACGTCTTTATGTGAAGTGCTCTCGCTTGCAAAATTAAACTTCTTCACTAACTCTATGCAAATCATCTTGAAGACAGTTTTCAATCACACTTTCTTTTAATTTGTTCTCGAAATTGTGTTTATAGTTTTGGCTCCCTAGTGCAAACATTATGAATTGATTTTCGTCACCAGCTTGTCACTTTTCAAAGTCATCAAAGTTAATGCAGATACTGTCTTAAACCAAAAACAGCAGGTTAAGATTATTCCATGGAACTTAACACTCTTATCCGAGAACATATGTTGACTAAGGGAGAGAGTTGGAAAAAAAACAGCAAAATTTGTTATGACTGCTATGACAACTTCACTGAATAAACGCGACTCACACTTAATTCTTGTTCGTATCAGGCCATTTGGAGAGCTAAAAATTTTCTCAGCTATATCTCTCATGGAGACTGATAAAATAAATTTGAACTGATGCTCGGTTGTAAACGTAATTAAAAATATACATTTTCGCTCAGAGTCTAATCGCGGAATTTTTTTTTCTAATCATTTGAACTTTTTAATTGAAAAATCATTAAAAAATACTGTTCCACTAAGTCAGTGCAAGTTTTGCGCTTATTTGGCCGGCTGTGGGTGCCGAATTCTGCTCTATCTAGTTTGTCGTAATTGTAAAGGAAAAACTTTGGTGGGTTGGCACAGCAAAGAAATTAGCTGAATTGACATTAACTTTTCCCCTGTATGTCATTTCAGAATACGCAAGAAGGCCACCTGATCAAACAGCACAGGAACCCAATAAGTCTCCAATATGCCCTAAGATATTATGTAAAGAGTATTGAAACTCTTGCTCCCAATGAAAAATTGACATTTCTTCAAATCTGTTAGAATCGCAGCAATAACGTGAGTTCGTAATTACTGAGTTCTATTTCAAGCAAACTAAGTCAGAATGATCGCAATAAAACGTATTGTCGCAGGCTTGAGGCAGAAATTGACAGGATTGTTTGAACGATTTTGTCAGTAATTATTCATAAGTGTTCGTTCGTGATGATAGATTCATTGAAATCGTTGAGTTGTGCCAGGAAGGCTTGTCAGTTATCCCTGCGAACTTGACACAATGTAAATTTCTGACCTGTTCCTGTTAGCTTTAAAACTTTACTCTTCTTTGACAAAGCTTCAGTTAAAGACTGAAAGTAAAAGGACTTAAATCAGTTATAAGTGAAACCAGGACGCAACGAAATATCCAAACCATTCAGGCACGCACTCAACTGCAAGAGCGTACGCATCCACGAAACCAAATGAATCAGTATGTTTGAAGGTTTTTTTTGGTTTACTTTACTTCATTTTGTGATATTTCATATCGGAAAAACCCGCGCAGAAGCGTTTTCTTTTACTGCACGGGATAGTTATCTAGCTACACCTGTGTTGAAGACACTTTTAGTCGAGGACTGGCTGGGTTGTACACTAGCTTGCCAGGATGACGCCATGTGCATCTCGTACAACTATGACACGTCCTTCAAGTCTTGTGATTTGAACGAACACGGAATACAACCTCCATATACCGGGTCTGACGAACTGTTGAAAATGCAAGGAATGATCTTTCATCAAATAAGGGTAAGTCACACGAAAAAATAATTTCAAGTGTTCTGTTTCGATCACAAAGTTGATATGATATTTTTTTTCTGGGCTGAATTTTTTTTTTTACACAGAAATATAAACATTGGCAATGTATCAACACCTCACTGAATATTTCCTTGCGGGCAGAAAACACATTTCTGACGTTTTATAATTTTGCGTGTTAATTATCTCTTTCCTTTCATCAACTATGATCACGATACGAGGTTATTTACACCATTGACACAAGATTTCATTATGGTTTTCATGATCTTTTACAGCCGAGCGCAGAAAACCAAACTGATAAGAGCGCCTTTGTGTCCATCAATTCTTTTCCAATTTTAATTGCTTAGATGAATATGTCGGTACGTTGAATTGATCACAGTTAACAAAAGACGGTTTTTCAGCGCCTGTTATTAGTTTGGAGCCGTGATAAATGGCAGATCACTTCAGCGGAATACGAGTGATTTCAGTTCGAAGTTTGAGAAATTTAACCGCTAATCGGGGGTCTTCATCATTAAAACTGCAACGTAGACGCAGTTTTTAGTGTCGAGTTTTGACGAAAGGATTTTGTGAATTGCCCTCCTTGTATGTGCATTCAGAGTAGTTACAGCAACTTGCAAGTAGTTGCTGAACTGTCAAATCGCTGTAATAGTGTTCGTTGGTTTACCACTGTTTCTCGTTTGAGAATCACAATCAAAATGGACGCACATTGCCTGATGATAAAGAAGGATGAGAAAACAATTTTGTTCAGTGTGGTTTCACCTTTATTTATGATAGATTGCTGTTAAGTTGTATGTTTTATCAAGCATTATACGTTGATAATTTAATATCATTCCACCTTCAAGTTAAAATTATTGACGCGCTGACGAACGGAAAAGAGTTTCGAAAATCTTCTCCTTCACGCGATTTTCCTTTGGTTAGAGAATTGATCTTTGATGGTTCGTAAAAAAGAGATGCTTGGAATATTCGTTCCTCTTTGCTAAAGAACCAAACGGAGGGGGTTTGTATGAATGATAACTTATTACAACTATTGCTGACTTTCTAAGGAGAGACTCTCAAAGGGAAGGCTATATTCACACTCTTTGATCCATAGCACCTGAAAACCAACAACGAGTAGTAGTATCTAGAAGCAGCATAACAGTAGCACATCACATCCTTGCATTTACACCCGAGTGGGTTGATCGAAGGGAGAGGTAATTATCTTTCGGCTTAGGGGAGGGAGCTGCGGAGGACTAGACAATAAATAAAGAGCAGTTCCTTAAGTTTGAGCTGCTCAACTCAAACATTGGCTCTCTCGTCGAATAGAATACAAATCCTGTGTTTTTGGCGTTGAAAATTTAAGATGTTTTTTGTTCCATGCAGCATTTCGATTCATCTGAGCATTTTGAAATGCCAGTGCGTTGCAATCTTTCAGTGTATCTCAGTAAGGAGTAAAACTTCGATGCTGAAAATTGTAACTAGCAAAAACACCGCAATCATCGCCAAAGTTATAGAGTAAATTAAGAATAAACCATTTATTTAGTGTCGTTCCCTACTTTTCCATGATTTGATTTTAGAAGATCCGAACTCAGGAGCGGTAAAAAAAAAATCCTCTGGTTACGCTTATACTGCTACAGTTCTCAATGGCTTGTGATTCAAGAGAACGTATTCTCCTGTTACAAAACAACGGCTCTAAGGTGTTGGGGACGATATGCAGAGAACTCTTTTACGCGTAGCCGCACCAATACAAGTCATTCCATGATTGAGTAAACCTTCCTTTAAATTTAAACATTTTCACCATTTGACATTGCGTGTTGTTTTGACTTGATCTTCGTACACCTACGGTAAAAACTGAAAACGAGAACCTAAATTAACAACTCACTGGGCGAAAGCGAAACTGCAAAACGAGGCACATGTACTTACATATTTCTATGCGATAAACGGGTAGGAAAAGCACAAAACTTCAACAATCAAAATGAACACAGCACCCAAGGTCCTGGCACGAAATTACTCTCGCACTAAAACATGTACTATTGATCATGTGACCTAATATAAGTCCGCAATTCGTGCTCGGCCGCTAGTCGGTCCAAACATAAGGCAACACAAGACTTGTTTGGTAAGAAAACTCAAGTTGCACAGCAACCCCAAAACCTGATACTGTTCTTTACCTATGAAACCGAAGAAAACGAAAGCTATACAATGGAGAAACTCTTTTTGTTAGGGTTGTGTAACTTTACGAAAAAATACGTGACAATAGGTTGACAACTCTAGCGTCAAGATTGAAATAAAATTGGTATCTTAAGAATTATCTTGAAAAAACTACGTAATAAGCTGTGCGTGGGCGAATTTGACGTTAAATTACACCATTTCTTGATAATTACGTCGAAATTAAGAGGTCTTACCAGAACTGTACTCCTGTACTCTACACTACGGAGGTAGATATTTACTGTTTACTAAATTTGGTCATTTTCTTCGTGAGGTAATCAGTCGATGGGTTGCAATACTCGTTACTCGATCCCTTTTCTGTTTTTTCCTGAATAATCTCAATGCCACCGTTGTGTTATTCATTTTCAGGAAGCAAAAAAACCTCTTCCTCCGCGAGAAGTTCAGCCTTCGAGTCAGTGCGACTGCAGTTGTACCTCAGAGAGTGCTTGTAGGCCTGGCGAAGGTAAAATCATTTAGTAAATAAACCCCTTCATGTCCACTGTTAACCCTTTAACTCCCAGAAGTGATTAACATAAAAACTTCTCCCTACAACATCCATACATTATTCAGCAAACAGGTAATGTGAATATTCAAACCTCAGATCTTAGGAGTTAAAGGGTTAATGTCCGCGGAAAAGAGATCATTTGTCCAAAAAATTAATATGTGGCCGAGAACGAAGCTACGGAGGCAAACGTGAAATTTGTGGACAATCTTTTACAGATCATTACCAACCGACATACTAACAAGCCAGAAAGGGGTGAATTTATATAACCCTCCCTCCCTTCTCCTTTACATAACCCTCCCATAGACTTTCCTATCGTACGTTGACAGTAAATTTTGTTAACGTTTTTGTACTATCCGTAGCAGCACTTCAGATAAGTTTTTTTTTTTAATGTCGCTATCACTGGACTCTACAAAACAAGTACTTTTTCCTTTCATGTTAAATAATAAAGATTAAGAGGTGAAACACTTCACCTGTTTTTTTCCGCTGGCTTTGTTTCTTTTCAACGGAAATAATCGGAGAAGAAATATCGACGTAGACGGAGGTTAGAGGTTAGAGTAGCCAATAGAATCACGAAAAAATTATTGGAGGGGTTATAATGCGCCTAACGCGAGTATATGTAATTGCAACTGCTCAGACAGAGCGTGCTCAGCATCACCAATGATCACAATGAAGTAGATGCGTATAAGTAATGTGTCAGACCCATTGAACGTTCATTGGCCCGTGTGAACCTCCTTGAGTATAAAAGGGAGTATGAAAGCATAACTGCCAATGAGGGGGGAATCATTAGAATACTACAGAGCCTCAGGGAGGGGATCCTGTGAATGTTCTTGTGACACAACCAGAATCCTCTGACCCCTACTCCGCGGTCCCCCTACACCCCTATCCCCTTAAATCCCGGTTCCCCTACACCCCTGTCCCTATTAGTATTTGAGTATAGAGTAAAATTTCATTGGACTGCATATGACTCATTATCTTTTTATTTCAGGTTCCTACCACAGACTTCCCGAATCTTGCAAAGAGATCTGGGAGAATTCTATGTAGGCATGCAAGAGCTGTTATCGAAAATCTCCCCAATTCGTAGTTAGGACATTAACATTGATCCTCGAAATGTAAAAATAAATCCAAAACCTGAATCAAAGTTAACTCAAGGTTTTGTTCTCGTATATTAATATAATACTGCATGGGAAAATCTCAAAATAGTTGAAAAATGCAAAGAGAGCGCTGGCTGAACCAACTGAATTATCCTTATTGTTTTGAAATCAGAACTTGAGATTACACAACCTTCAGTACACGTAGACTGAATGCATTCGGCACTGCAGCAGATCTCATTCTACGGGCGTAAAACAGATTTCTGGCTTTATTTTCTAATTCATTTACTCGTTTTTAGTTAATTACACGCACTCAAATTATAATGGTAATGACATTCAACTGATACCAACAAAGTAATAGTAATTGTTTATATTATGGTGCTGAAGACTTAAATCTTTCTATTATAACTTTACATTTGGTATTAAAAGTCATTATTTTCTTCGTTGTCCTTCAGAGGCCGAGTGGATGGGTCCTATAACATCCGGGCTAACTCATCTGCTAAGTATGCAAATGTATTCTGTCACATGACTCCTATTCACGGATGTGGGGATGGCGGATGGACGCTTGTCATGAAAATCGATGGACACAAGGTATTCTGGGTCCCTGGGCGCGCGGTTCTGATAAATGAATAACTCATAACTCAACCACCAGATGAATAGTTATTGTGAGATTGCTAGTTGGTTTATTTAGCCATGAAATGTAACTAGCGATACTTGACATTTCACAACGAGTCCTTTGACCAAGATAATGTTATCACACGGAAAATCAGAGTGCTACAGTGGTCGAACCAATGCTTGATGTTCCACTTAAGGTTTTGGATGCTGCACCACCATATTATAGGTCACTCTGAAAATAATTTTCAACCGGAAAAATTTCCTTTCTACTGCATTTTCAGCCATACCATATTCCGCGGCGAAAAAGCATAAGAAAATTTTTCGTCCGCAAATTTTTTACTTGTACCACGCTAGAGGCTCTTTTGCTGTTTGCATTAAAGATATCCTCGAGTTGCAAGCTACTAAACTGCACACATGAAATTTTTTTTTCTCGTCAATGCTAACCGAATAGCTTTCGTCTTTGGTATAGCCGTGCTTAAGGACCATGTGCTTTAAATGAATTTATAGATTTTAAATTATCATCATCAGGAGAAAGGCGGGCGTGAGGAATATGTTCTCTCACCTCATCCATTCTTGTTCAGGCCCAAAATATGACAATATGGTCCAGCCTGATCATCCCTGTTTATAAGAGTTACACGCGCTCAGACACATTAGGTAAACCCTGTTCGTAAGTGTAAACCTTAATTGGGAAATACTCGTGTAAACCTATGTGAATGCACCTCTAGGGAATAATGTAACCGACGGGTGAATTAAAGCAAAGTTTGGAAGTGAACAACGAAGAAAAAGTCTTATGACTAGGCAATAAGATAATCTGAACTGTGGAGGGTACAAAGCACATGACACAGTAGATTTTGTATAACCGTGAAGTTATATTGGAATGCTGCTGGTCAACTCAGGGATGGGGGGCGGGGGCGGTGAGTACCCACAACACTCCCCCCCTATGAGAATCAGGCAACATCTGTCACTCTGTTCTTGTCTTTCAATTCGCTGTAGCCAACATTCAATTACTCTTCCGAATACTGGAGTAACACTATTGCTTACAACGAAGCCGCTGGAACAACCCTCAATGATGCAGAAACAAAGCTGAGCAGCTTCTGGTCTACACCATTCAATCGACTCTGTTTGGGCATGAAATATCCTAAAAACGGGGAGACAAACTGGATTGCACTAAACTATAATGGCTCTTCTTTGAGAGATGTTATCGGAAACGGAACTTTCCAGAAGACAAACGTGAGCGTAGCGGAGTGGAAAAAGCTGCTGAATAACTCAGACATCCAGGTAAAGAGTAAACGGTCCAACAATTGTCATGATTATGCATTAATTCCCTGAGTTGTTTGAAAACCCCGATAGGAAGAAGGGAAATTTTCGTATTGATCTGCATATCATGGTGTCTCGATTTTCCTGTACATGTTGTGCCGAGTCACTCAAAATTGATTTCAGTTGAACTTTTAACATATGTATTAGAAACAACAACAACAACAACAACAACAGTAACAGTAGCAAGAAAAGACAAACACACACGCACACACAAAAAAAAACTAAAACTGAGAAATCAGGAAGAAGTATGAATTTTCAAAATACTTGCTTTTTCCGTTTTATGCGTCGTCCATCTTGCGAGAATAATTATTTTTTCTTTCTAGGGGAAGGACAAGTTATTACTTGGGAGTGTAATTCTGTCATTAACGATACTTAAGTGACTTTGAGCTGTTTCCCTTGTCAGAACGGATGCCAAATGCAAGGTTTTAACAGCATTAACGAAGATTATGATTTTGGCAACGGTGCGAAGGCTCGCATTGGAATCATTGGTTTTCCAGGCCGTTGCAACCAAACTGCGCAGTCCAGAATTGGGTTTGGTACCGAGGGAAGTTACTATCAAATGGACAATTCCAATTCTTGTGGAAACCAGCTAAGAGATTTAACGTCGATGAAGGCATTTGGCTACATTTTTGTTAAATAATTTAAAAATGTCAATACTGTAAATATCATATGGTAGTTTAGACATGCAAGGTATTGTCTATATCATTAAGTCATTAATGATATAGACAAGGTAACAGTCAACAACAAAAGATAAAAGAGAACGAAGGACGAGAAAGAAATGGGATGTTCGAAAAATATTGACGCTTCTATACCGCTTAAATTAGTTCTTCCGAGTAAGTTAACAACAGTAATTACATAACGCTGATCGAGCAATTTTTAGTTGTGTCGCAAGTAACCCGAATTGCTTTGTTTTACTTTTAATTACTTTGCTCTGTGATTGGTTAAGGTTAGGAAAACTCGCGCCACTCAACCAATCAAATGCCAATCAAAACCATTCTCGACTTGCACGTTCGCAGTTTGATCAGTTTTACTTTGAGTTCCCATCGGCTTTTAAAGGTATTCTTCCCTTTTCTGAGGGCATGGCTGTTGTGCTTGCTTTGGCTTTACACTGTTTTACGACACTCAATCGAAAAATGCTCTCTCTCTTTTTTAAAAAAAAGAACTTCTACGTGATATGTTGAAGTGAATGTCATTAGTTTGTTTGCTGAGTTATTTGAACGCGAGCATTGTATTTAGATTCTTTAATTACATTAACAGTTATGCATATAAAGCAAAAAACACGCTTGTGCAGTGAGCTATTTTTTTCAGTCTACGGATCTTTTCAGCTAAATATCAAAGAAATTTTCATTTCAAAGTAGCTTAACGTATCCGTCGAGTTTATAACTGATTAATATAAGGACAAATCCGTCCAATTTTAGACAATTTATTTGATCGTGCACTCTTCTTATTTTGGGCTTTTCTTCCGGGCGTCATTAATTGTCAGATGGTTGAATTTCAGTTGTACGTTTCCGTCTGACTTTGGACGCCATTGTCCTAGTTTAGACGTAATCAGCTGATTTCAGAAGCTTCCGCCCGATTTCGGACGCTTTTGTTCGATTATAAACACCTCCGTCTGATTTAAGACCATATCAACCCCATTCCGGACGCTTACATCCGATCTTTGATGCTACTGTCTGACAATGATTTTGCTTGTACGTTCGAAGGTCAAAGGCCTTGAAAGGAATATCATAAAAACCAGGGACCTTGTTGTTCGAAGGCCGATTAGCGCTAACCCATGGTGAAATTTTCATCCAGGTTCCTTCTTTTCTTTATTCAGGAAGCCCTTTTCAAACACTTTCCTTTTTACAGCATCCGGTAATAACACTGCAGACAAAAATAATTTAACTGAATTTTTTAAAGCTTTCAGATCAGAAATAAAATTTCACACTAACCTTGGGTTATATTAAACCAGCTTTGAATAACCCAGCCCACGATTGTGCTAATGGTAAAACGAATTTATCGAAGCTGAGGATATCAAACATAAAAATAAATTCGAACTGGAAAATGAGATCTGGGGAAAAATTTGGACTGGAAAATGCAGGAATGTATCACCTACTCCGTCAGTACCCTCTTGATACAGAAATGAGAAAGCTTCTCATCATTTTCCCCCTTAAATTCTTAAATTAAATAATAACTCTCTTCCTCAATAACAGATATAAACTTCCTATAAATACTGACTATGAACCGAGAAGGTTACGTTGCGTTTATTTTTAGGGAGCATCGTCATCTGATAACCTTCAGAGTGTGAATTGGTTAATTACTTAGTTTAAAAATTGTTCTTTGGTTTTTGATAACATCCGACATAGCGTGATGCTGAAACAGCTGATCACGCGTCACAACCAAAAATACAACCAGATGACGTGACCGTCAAAAGAGCATACCGGATCAGTACAGGGAAGGGAAGTAGGAAGTCCTTTTTTCTGTACACTCGCATATTGCGACAACTTTTGCACGAAATATAAACGAATATGTACTGTACTCCGAGAATATGTCCAGTAGAAAATTAATTTTTCGATGGGGAAAATACCTTGACTGAATTTTGAACGGTATGTTACGCCATAATATGTATGCTTGATTACACATGTACAGTCAACTCTTTTGTAAGCGGATACCCTCGGGAATTGGAGAAAGTGTGCGTCAGTAGAAAATTCCGTCTACGAGAACATTTCCCAAGAGCAGAAATCAGAAAAAAGTAGTGGAGTGCGTTAAGCCGGACTCTTGTTACTGTCAAACGAACGCACAGCATGCTTTCCCGCAGACAAATGGAGATTTGACAAAACTGATCCACACTGTTCTGTTGCTTTGTCAGAGGTTATACTTTTGTTGACTCACAAACTCAAGACACTGATATTGATCCGACAAATCTTACTGCCAAGAGTCAATTATATATACATGGGGTTTCCGCTTTGGAGAGAGATAAACGAAAAAAAAAAAAAAAGGACAGTTTCGCTTTTCAAAGTGTCTGCGTCCGCTTTCGGGAGAGTATTCGCTTACGGGAATGTGTAAATACAGAGTTTAGCTGGGAGGCAAAAAAGGGGAATTGAAGAAAGAGTCTGTTAGAGGAGAGTTGTACAGTAATTTATAGCTCTGATGAAAGGCAGAACGTCAAGTAATAAAAGGAAGAAAAAATTACACGTGTGGTAAGAGATCTGAATTCCTTTGAAGTAATGTCATTACCGGATGCGGAGGATTTAAAGGATACGAAACTGATGTAGTTATTTTGAAGGGAGCTGTGTTGTTAGGAGCCGCAAATACTCTTTGATAAAATTTAACTCGAATCATACTCAAACCAATTTGGAAAACTTTGCTTCAAGGATGTTATAAATGCCAAATCTTCCAAAGCGCAGAGAGACTACAGCATCTGTTACGATTACTTACGTGACATAGCAGATACCGCTGGACAGGTCTCAGAAATAAACAATACCACCGTCTCGCCATCGTGTCCTCTCTGGAGCGAAACGGAAAGAAGGGAAGTCCGCTGCAAACCCTTGCACGCGCTCGGCAGTCGGCGACCTTCGATCTTGGTGAGTATTTCATACAGATATCAGCCTCAAACTGACCTTAACTGTGCCAGTTTTAAAGTTTCTCTCCACGGGAGCTAACCGAAGATTATATCTAGAGTCTGTGTTAAAAAGAACGGTGAAATCGAAATCGATCAGCATAGTGTCATGCGAGGTTCTCCCGATTCAACCTTTGACAACGACTACTGAAAACATTTGCTTTAAAGGTAACATAGAAGTATTCTTTTTTTGTTTGCAATCGATAGAAATTCGAATTCAAAGCGTAGGGTTTAAAACCAAAGGGTTTGAGGTTTAATTTATGCTCGTTTGGATATTTTTGTGTATCAAATTATGCAGGTTGAATTTCTCAAAAAAAAAAAGGCCAGATACTGAAAGCTTGAATCCTAAAACGTTGTCTGTTTGACCTTGAGCCATTTAAATGTTTCGCGAAAGTAGAAACCAAAAGCCCCAATAAAACGGTCAAATTTTATTTCAGAGATAGCTGAGGTTTAGACCGCTGTACAACCTGGTTTTAAAATTTATTTAAGGAAACCAACATTGCTTTTGAGCACTTAATGGACTATGAATTTCTTGAGGATAAGGATCTTTTAAGCGGGTTTTTCAGATCTCAGTTTTTGTGGTAAATAAAAATCTAAGAATGAGCGCTCAAAGAATACCGAGATTCGAAGAGACAGCTGGAATGTTTTGCAGAACCATGCCAATTTGCGTATGATGAATCCTAATAACTTAATATGCAAATATTGGCTTCAGCACTCATGAAATTCTAAAATTGATGGGGAGTAATGAAATATAATAGCAGAAACCGCTTAAGTCATCTGGAGCGGACATCGGTCGGTGTTTGTTATAATTGGAAAGAAAAAGAGTGCGTTTATTCGAGGAAGCAATCTTGTGCCGTCCGCCCTCAATCGAAACCGTTGAAAGGGTATGTTGCGTGACGTTACACATGTGATTTGAACAAAATTAAGCGATACATTAAATTGAGAATTTTTAAACAAATGCGACTCGTTTCTTTCCTTATTTTACTGGCTAAATTCTAGACTGAATAATCCATCTTAATATATGAAAGTATTATAGTGTACCAAGTACAGTGGATTTTGGATTACGCTCGGGGGACTACGGAATCTAGAGTTCAGAGTAAAACTAGACTATAAGGTGATTGCGTAGTTATGGTTTTTATCAACTATTTCTAAAACAACCTGTGGTGGTGGAATTTTGTGAGATGTTAATTTTATTGTAAGAGCCTACAGGGCCGTACAGATCATGTAATAAACATCTTACCACTTTAAGCACACTCGGGATGTCTGCCGATCAAAAGAAATATTTAGAATGACATGTTCTTGTACCGATAATGCATAAGGTATCTTTTCTTTCAGGTGTCAATTACCATATTAGAATATGAAGTTTTCTCGTTGGACGTTCCCTCTTTTTGTCACTGTCTTGATCCCTGCAGGTACGTGCATGATGTCTATTAGTTTACAGCTAGTTTAAAAATTTTTATGAAGAAATGTTTTATGGAAATCAAACGGCCAGAACGGCCTAGAAGTGAAGTTTATGACAGAACTCATCGTTACCGGGAGTCTAGCATAGGAACAAGTGATGAAGGGGATCGAAATGCGGATTAGTTGCGTTAGAACGGCCCAGAGAATCCCTAGGGGAGGGCATGCACCTCGTTAAAGATGGCGGACGGACTGTTAATATGGTAGATCAATGAGTGAGTTGCCAGTAGTCGGATTCTTGTGTTTGCGCAAAGATTTCTGAGATCACCACGGGGCAAACATTGCAACTTGCTTGAAGGAATTATATGGCGAAAGGTTTTTTTGACGCCCAAAAAACGATTAGGGAGAGAGATCAACGCTTTTTCGCCGCAGTTTTATCGCAGATTATCAATAATGATGTTGATGCGAAGGAAGCGTAAAATTTTGGTAGGATTACCACCAAATATGTTATAAAGTGTACAGATAAACTTTTTTCCTTAAGCAAGGTCTATTGTGAAATTTTCATCGCGTTATGGTCTCGACATGTTACAAGATTAGCCATAAATCGCCAGGAAATAAGTCATTTACGACTTTTCGGTTGTATTTATGTATGTATGTACAGCCTGTTTTTACACTTGTTGACGAATTAAATAATCTCCAGCTGCCTTGAAGACTAGCTCTTGTAGCGCTCTTTTGTTTTACCGAGCCGAGAAAAAAGCTTGAAGTAGACTTTACAGATGTCAAAAAAAACTGAAAAGGCTTCGTTGAGTTATTTCTTGGCGATTGATAGCTAACGTTTTTGAATTTCGAGACCATTACACGATGTGAATTTAACAACTGATAAACTTTGCGCACGGAGAAAAGTCAATCGGTAGATTTTACTGCATATTTCATGGTTCTTTAAACAAAAACTTACGCTTCCTATTTGTCAGTATCACCCAAATCCATTTCTAATGAGAAAAGCGGCAAAAAAGCGATAATCTCACCCCAAGATCGTTTTTTTGGACGTCGAAACAACCTTTCGCTACAGATTTCTTTCTAGCAAATTGCAAACACAAGGATCCGATTACTGACAATTCATTCATTGGGGATTACTTCTGTGGGGATGAAGGCTAAATTCTGTTTATTGGAATGACAGGATCATTTTCTTTCAGTAAAATCACTGTATGTTCTAATTGTATTCCACGAGTTCACCACAGTGCCACATTGGTTTTCTGTCTTCCGGTGCTTTTTTTCCATGTACGTTTGCGAATCGTACTTCACATCAAATTGAAATAGCTTAATGGAATTCAAACCATCACCATTTTTCGCACGAAGGGATGGTTGGCAGGGGGTGCTAATCTGCGGGCTGCGAAGAAGGAAAATCGCAATTTTTACCAACATTTCTTGGCGTTGAAAAAAGGAAGGGAAACATTTCCTCGTCCGGAGAGCTACAATTGGTAGAAATACCATTTAAAAAAATCTTTACCTATTTTTGCCGATATTTTCACGCAGGTTTTTATCTTAAAAAGCCGCTTTTGTTCCTTTCAGCTTGTGCTCTTCAGTGCAATGTATGTCATTTTGATACTCAATTAAATCAGAACGCTTGCAACACCACCGTTAAGAATTGTCCGAAAGACTCGCCATTCTGCATGACACAATCAGACCGCAGGCCAGATGGAAGCAGGACATTCGCGAGGGACTGTGTACCCCCTAGGGTTTGCAGAAAGGACTATTGCAAGGAAGTGATCATAAAGGGAATAGGACGGACGGATTGTAACATCACCTGCTGTCAGGAAAATTTTTGCAACAGGGACGGCGCCACAACAGTTGGCAGCAAAGGACATATGACACATACCAACTGTATGTTAGAATACTTTCTCATTATTGTAGGTATCTGGTTTTCTCTTCTAGGAAGACAGTTGCAACTTTAAGAAGTTTATTTTAGCTTTAGGAAGTTTCCTTAGAATTCGCAGCCTTTGTTGGGATCGTCAAGTAACACACTTTATCCATCTCTAAAAGCAAATGTTGCTAAGGAGTTGGAATTCGGTGATGAAGAAAGAGTTAAGGATTTACTTTTCTGTGCGTCAAGCTTTACTAACTGTACCAGCCATTCTTACTTTTCTGGAAATCTTGACAACAGAGTCAATTATCTCGTTACCAACTCTTTTCAGCTTATCACAATTTGTGATAAATAAGCCCGAATAAATTGTTCATAAACCTACTTATTTGCATAAGCCTAAAGGGCAATAGCAATTCGTAATCTTTTAAAAAAAATAAACAAGTGCTCATTCATTCCGAATGGCACCCGAAAATCATTGTCGTATAAACTGAATTGAACCTTGAACACTGCTATTGTTGTCACGTAAGCTTGCCATGCGGTCATGTTGTAATCGTAAGCGCGCGCAAGTCACATGGCAAAGACTGCATTCGGAACGCCATTTGGAAATATAGTGGTGTTTGATTATTGAAACTCTGTTACTCGTCTGTCCGCATTCCTTCGTTCTCCTTACAGCCGACATCAGCGGACGCTGAACTACTTCTTCTCTTCTCTAAATTACGTCCCTTCTGCATTGTGTTACCTAAAAACTGCAGTTCTCTCATTCCAGTCAGAATGAAAAAAAATTTCATTTATATTATTGTAGATCAAACATTCTGGATCTCTGCTTGTTGAAATCTCCTCTAAAACTTTTTATAAACATATATACACAACAAGATATGTCGTTCACGAGGCGAGGTAGAGTGTATCACTGACATTTTTACCACATTTTAACTCTTGTCTATTCTATTACTGAAGAGACACACGCTGACATTTGTTTTATACGTATGATTAAGAGGGGGTTATTTAGTTGATACTGACGTCATCTATACGTCTCTCCTCCAAAAGAACATAAGTAAGAACCAATCAAAATTCGTGTAAAATTCAGCTTATTGTATTACGTATATACCCCTGTCGCGCTCTCATCAAGCCTCGCGCATGTTGACAGAAAAAAGATCATTCATCGATTCGCTATATTTCTGTGGAATCACGAAGATTTTCTAAAGCCCTCGCAGAGTGGTTGAGTGAAAAATAATTCTCTTTTTTCACTTTTACAAGTACTACAAAGAGCAAAGTTAAAATAGTGCCAAAAAAAGCCGATGTTGTTGTTGGCAATTGCAAACTTTCAAAATAAGAAAGACCACGTGTATTTTCATTGGTACTCAACAGATTCTGTGAGCTTGTTGCCTTTTACACAACCACAAGATTCGCACAAGTCCCATTGCATGAATTTGAAAAGTGGACGATGGCTCTTGAAAACTGTGACAAGTTCTCACGACGTTTTTAGAACATAACTGCTTCCTTAGAATGGACGACATTCTCCATTGTGTTTCAAGAGACGCTAAGTTGGCAAATATGATTGTCCAATGTCGTTCTTCAGCAGCGTGGCAGAATATGTTGTTTGCCCCTTTCACGCCTGGAAAATCAATCGATTCAGCTTAATCTTAAATTAAGTAATAGTTCTTGTGTATAGTCACAACGATACCGTGCCATATCGGGTCAGTGCCTTGATATCGTGTGATATCAGGACAGAAAACCAGGCTTTGGATTGGCTTATTGCGAGTTTGGGTACGGTAAAAATTAATAATGCACGAATAAGCAGTCTTTCCCCGTAGCCTCCCCTTGTACCGTTCCTTAATTGGGGTCTCCATGCGGTTCTGCGTTAGCCGTAAAAGTGAACGGCCTCAAATTTACCCAAGGCCCGTGAAAGCCACTTCTGCTTTGAGGCCTGCCCTCCAATCTTGACTCAACTCAGTTGACAATTATTTGGTGTCGCATAATGAGACTGTTGGTCGGAAATATTTGAGCTGAAGAAATACCAGTTCAGTTTAATATACATCCTAAGGCAGTATTGAATATTAATGCCTGTGAATATCTGAAAATCGTATATGTGCACTGCGGTTGAAGAAACAAAAATAGAATCGATCCTCGCAGTTATGAACACTACTGAACTAGTAGTTGATTTGAACCCAGGACCTCTGCGATACCGGTGCAGCGTTCTACCAACTGAGCTAACATTATCTGGATCAAACATAATGACCAGCTCCCAGCTGGCTTGTTAGCTCAGTTGGTAGAGCACTGCACCGATATCGCAGAGGTCATGGGGTTCAAATTCAGTACGGGTCTGAATTTTTATCAGTCCTTATTTAAACTACTCGTTCAGTAGTGTTCATAACCGCGAGGATCGATTCTATATTAGTATTGAATACTGTTCAACGTTTGCTTTTTATTAAAACCTAGAAAAACTGCCTTGTAAATAATCAAAATTCGTAAAACATTTTGTCAGTAATCAAAATAAATTCAAATTTTTAAGGTTATGTAAACATTGCCATTTTAAACAAAGCGGAACTTCCAAATAAATAGTTTAATTTATACAAGATACTTTTAACTAACTAATCAGTATCATAAAATGTTACTTCCACTACATCTTCCAATAAAAACAATGTCAAAAATGTTTTTCTTTGTTCCGAAAGTAAATTTTAAAAGTTTTAACTTCAAAATCGCATTAAAGCTCTTTATGGTTAGTGACACATTTCCTAATTAAAAAAGAACATGAATTAAACGCCCTCGAGGAAAGGGTATACAGTCGCCGTCACCTACAAGCTCTACACATAGGGGCATGGTTGATTATATAGAAGGAAGTTACCATTTATTTAATTTTATTTCCATAAGCTTGAGGAAGCTAATTCAGAGTTTTTGTCTTTTGAAAAATTTTTCACCTCAATAATTTCAAGTTCGCTGACTGCAGTCCACGTATATGTTCATCATCCAGCTTTTTTTTCATTTAACTTACTCTTTCCCTTATTGCATTTTTCCACATTTGAAGGTTTCTTCGTCGCTGGATTATCACAAGTTAGTTTCATTAATCGTGTTACACAATCAAAGGCGGCCTGCACATAAACTGACCAACTCGCTCAGTTTTCGATTGAATGTCGAATATAAGATTACATTGGCTTTGCCTTACTTGTCTCTGTGTGACTTAGTCTAGGGAACTCGAGCCAACTTCTCAACCAATCATATGAGTCACAATCCCGACGCTCCCCTTTTACCGCGCTTTGAGCAATGTGCTTGTCTTCACTTTGAGGTGTCATCGCCAGATTATGAAGTTAACCTTTATCCTATAATAACTATGATTTTGCTTTCACAACACTCAGACTAAATGCGCTCCATATCTAACATAACTTAGTAAGAAAGCTTTGCTGTCCGCGTGAATGAGGGTCTTTTTTAATTCACTTTCTTAAAGACGTATTTAAAATTCCAAATACTACTCTCTTATAATTCAAAACTCAGAGATCGCAGACAAAAAATGTACAAACGCTGATCTGATACCAGACAGATACCGCGAACACAACGAATACGAATATGTAATCGTAAAGTTTTTGTCTGCCATCCTAATAAAAAGTAAAAAAGAAAACCTAATAATTTTAAAATCATAAAAATCTTCTAAAGACTTACAAAATAAGGTTTTTAAGTGAAATGTTGATCTCATAGCACTTGATTCTGATTTCTTATTAGGATTATAAACTCTGACATCTTCCACTAATTTTACCTTAAATTCACCTATTCTACATAACTTGTCTTACAATGGAATAACTTCCTACAATTTTTTCCTTTCGGAAATAATTTGATTTAGTAATGTCTCACTGACTAGAAACTGCCGATACTCTTCAAGTGTCTCTTTGATACAGTTATTTAAACTAGGCAAGAGAATATAGCCAGTTTATATTCTCTTGAACTGGGACAGTCCCTGAGGAGACGACGAAATATTTTCCCAATCATTTGCAATCGCCTAAACGTTAGTGCAGTTCAGAATTTACGTTGTGAGTAATATTTCAAAAATGAGAATTAGGCAGAGAACAAACAAATATTACTATTGGTCCGTTAAAAATTCTCGAGCTTTCATATGATTCCTTAACACGACTATGACAGTCGTGCGGTGAGTAATTTTCACTCATATGATTAAATGTGTTGCATCTTTCTAGGCTGAGTATTAAAATTTGAAAGATTTCTAATTAGAGTAACTGTAAATTAAATATTGTTTCGTAATTAGAAGGGATAATATTTTCTTTTATTACGTTCCGTTGAACCACTTGTTTAGGATCCAACCAGTGTGTAAAATAACGCCCAAAGAAATAGTGTATCTATAACAAAAAATACAATGCAAGAATCTGAGTAAGTCGCCTTGTAGGGATCAACCGTTATACTTTTGAATAGAAAAGGTAAGTTTCGAAAGAAACTTTGGCGCTGTGTCGATTGGAGGGTAGATAAGATAATCTGGTTTCATCAACTGCAAATTGGCCACCATAGAGAGTTTCAAAGCTGACGTTTCGAGCATTAGCTAATAAAGCCCCTCTTTACAGCGCTCTACTCTTGTTTTAATGGTGTTGCTCCCTAACGAGTTTTCTGTAGCTCTGTTGGCAAAGCATCCGCAAACGTGACGCATGCGCAGTTGGTTGGGGCTCTAACTTACAATGAACGAGACTTAATCTTCGTTCCATGCAAAAAAATATAATCGTACTCACTAGTTCATCAGTAAATTGGAGGAATAAAGTAATTCTTTAAAGCCAACCCACCTAGCTTCGTTGTAAACTCCAGCTGATTCACAACAGGAGGGTTTTCCTCCTATCGAACAACAATATTTCAATTTTTTATTATCCTTTGGACGCGGACAGTAATCCCTAACTCTTGATCCGTTGTCATGACAACGCTTTCCTCCCGGCTCACAACAGCTTGGGCCATTGTCGTGGCAACAAATACCAGTTTTGTTGTTGTTTACGTTTAATTCCTTTGGACATTGAAACGGGTACCTCCAATCCATCGGACAGGAAAATCCTATAACAAAGAGATTACTTTAAGTTTTAGTTCTTCCTTTCAATATCAGAAATTTATGAATGAGCAGGGCTCAGTTGATTTACTGCATTCCTGTAACTATGAGACGCACGCACGAACAGTGTGCCTGTTTTTAATTAGATCTATCCACTATCATTGACTGTGAACGTGAGAAAGCTTCATACTCATTTTCATTCAAACCTAACCATAGTCTGATGAAACTGAGAGATAATGATTATTATCTCCTGAAGAAACTGAACCACACTATGCCTTCTTTGCAGTTTAAGTGGGCACCATTTGCAAACTGGAAGTCAGCTTACTCTCCACTTAACCCTTGGAAGTTAATATCACACCTAGGAAATCGTACAGCTTACCTTTCCGATATTTCTCAGAAGAAAACTGCGCCACAAAACCCGAATCAGCCACAGCATCGTCTGATCTGAATCTTACCCAAAGGTGTCGGCCGCTTGAATATATCGCATCCGTGTTATTAGTTCCACAAAATGTCCCGAGCAGACGAGCACTAGAATTTGCTCCATCTCTTACTTCAACGTAATCGCACGAACAAAACTCGGAAGTTCCCATTCTACCGCAGCTTTGTATTGACATCGAGAGGAATTTGAATTTGATGCGCGTTCTATACGGCGCAGTGATTTCCCAGATACAGTCCACATTGTTAGGATAATTTCGAGAAGGAAATTCAGGGCTGTGAACTGTTCCTACTGATGTAACGAGGCTCGTGGCGTTCCTACAAACTGAGAACCAAAACTATAACTCAATAATAGAATAAACGGAGAGAAAAGTGAACGACAAAAAGGTCAGGACACAAAGAATAACTATTGTGAAATAAATTGCATCGAGTGGTGTCTCTTGGCTTTATTACCAACTGAGCTACTTCACTGACTAGAGCTTTGCTTTCAGTTGTAATTCTGATCAAGAATTGATTGAAATAGTTTACTTTTAGTAACACGCTGAATAAAAACGATTAGTGCCCGTAAGAACCGCTGAGTTAGTGAATAAATGACGTTTCTTAACCTTGTGAAATGCATGACAAAGAAAAACACTAAACAAGGCACTAAACAAACCTGCACCAGGAAGCACTGAGGAATATGTCGCCGTAAATCCTGAAAAGCCGTTTCCATGATCAGAACTGAACACAACCTTCAACGCCTGTTTGCTTGAAAAGAAAGGGCCTGGTAAAGAGCTTCCGCAAAACTTTCCCAAAGAAGTAGGTCTGTTTCCGATGACGTCAAAAATCTCTACAAAGTCACATTGGCAATCAAGGCAGCTCTCCAATTGAAATGTGTTAAATGTAAGTTTTATGTGCTGATTTCTGGCTGGAATTGAAATGTGCCATACACAGCGAGTGTAGTCCGGATAGAGCAATGACCCGCGTGGTTTGGGGCTACTTAAATCTCCAGAGCTGTTTGAAAAAAAGATAAATTCAGGACACCCTAAAGGAAAAAAAAAAAAAAAAAAAAAAAAAAAGGAATGGAGTAAGCATGTGAAATCAAAGACATTGTTTATAAAGAAAATAATTTTGAAGCGTGTGATCAGCCATTACTTTCCATGGTTATGGGCCACCATCTTAATAGATGGTGCTGACTTTCTCTATTTAATACAAATTCATTGTTGCGTCTGTTTAGTTATAGATCACAGATGACATCAAGATATGATGGGAACAAATAAATAAAATAAACGGACAAAATATTTAAATGGTGACATTCTTTATGCGTCTGTCTTCCAATAGATCATAGGTAAGGTTCAGTTATAATACCTGCGTAATTCAGCTTCTTATATATAACAAATACACCTGAAATTCAATGTTGCCGTGACACCTGACATTCTATGTTGTCGTGACACCTGACATTCTATGTTGCCGTGACACCTAACATTCTATGTTGCCGTGAAACGTGACATTTTATGTTGTGACACTTGACATTCTATGTTGCAATGGTTCTATTCGAATTCAGTGATATAGTACAGATGACGTCAAAATGTGGTAGGGACAAGAAAATGGCACACGAGGCGCAGCCAAGTGTGTTACTAATGTTCCCACCACATTTTGACCTCTTCTGGTGTATAGGATCATGAGGAAGAACCAAAATAAGAGCGTGTATAGTTTAACTTATTCTATAAAAAGGAAATAGTTAAATAGAATAAGAAAGATGTATGCTTTAAGCTCGGTAAAGAAATAGAGAAAGATTTTTTTTCGTCTTGCCACTAGCGAGGGACAAAGAAAAAATTCTGAGTCTCCAGGAGGGGCATCGGAGCGCAGAATCCGTGGGTTCGAGGTTCGAATCCTCATAGAAGACTCGCAATGTTTTCCTTGTCTCACGCTCGTGACAAGCAAGACGAAAAACATCTTTCACGATGATATAGTTATTTTCTGAAAAAACACATGTTAACTTACAGAAATAATTTATTGCGTCTTGGGAGTTGAAGGTTCAGAGAATAACTTGCTCTGGTCAGTGAAATAAAAAAAGGCTCGATGATCTTTCTCTATCTTTTTTTTTTTTTTTTTTTTTTTCAAGGAGCTAAAATTTCAAGCTAACGCAGTGCATAATCATCTAAATTTACTGGATTGCACAATAGTTAAACTCGAGGTATATATAATCTTCAGTAATCTTCATCTTTTATAATCTTCAGTTGAGCAGGGAATTTCCGCAAGATTTCCGTTATTATTTTAAACCAGGTACACCGATACATGTACATCCGGTATTATCAACAAACCACACACGTGCACTCGGAGATATGAAAATATCTTAATACTTCCAGCTGCATTTGTTGGGACACCTACTGGGTCTCATGCCCCTCTCAATGCAAAATGGCTCAGGAGCATTGGCAATTAACAAGATAGGAAGGGAAGAGGGGTGAAAGAAAATCTTGAACATTGTCCTGGAGAAGCATCCCAACTAATTTTGTAAAATAATTCAAATAGTACGCGCGCTCTGATTGGCCATAAAACCATTTTACATGAGCGTATGTAAACACGGTTTTCGTTCCTCTTTCATTAGTTATTTTATAAAAGAAATGTAAAATGGTTTCTGTGTTTACATAGCCTGATGTAAACACTTGGGAGGTTGGGAGAACACTCGATAAGCTGGAAACCACTCCGCTTCGCGTCGTGGTTTCCTACGCTTTTCTCGTGTTCTCCCAACCTCCCGCGTGTTTACATCAGCTATGTAAACACGGAAACCGTTTTACATTTCTTCAATGTCTGGAAGCGTGGTTTCACCAATACATGTGTATCCGGTATTGTTTACCACCACACGCGTGCAGTCGGAAAAATGCACGAAATGAATAACAATGGAGCACTATCAGCTCCCAAATAGGAAACAGCTTGATCAGGAGTTCAGCGCGTTCTTTTTCTGCTGAAGGAGAGATGCTTTTTCACGCCCAAAATGCTGGCGTGACTACCAGGTGATTATTCATATTTTTACACTTTTGTACCGAAATGTATTAAGTTATCCAAGGTACTTACATTTTTGCGTTGACACAATTTCCACGAGACAGATTACTGTAAAACCAGAAAGGAAAAAACAAAATTTTAGGGAATTAGTCTCTGCATAACCCATAACCCCAAATGTCAGACCAACTGTATTAATTAACTAACAAATAAGTCACGACGTCTTTTGACGACGAAATTTCCGTTCCAAGAAAGGAAACCATATCTTGTTGACTTTCTAAGGAAGAAGCGCTCGAAAGAGACATAAGCGAACTGAAGAGAACGAGAATGTGTTGATAAACTTGAAAAATTCTGGCTGCGTTTTGCGAGATCCTCGAACCGTGATGAAGCCTCTTTAAATATTCTGAGAGGCTCTAAAGCTCACAGTTACAATGTTGGCTCTGGTACTTCCATTCATAACTAATATACGCGTCTAGATCAGTCTAATAAAGCAGCTTAAGCTGTAGTGTGCAATGACGCTGAAGATACGTTCTTAGCACTACTTATTGGAGCGGAGGCCTTAAGGCGGAAAATAAAACTGATAGGTAGCAAGCGGTCTGTTGCACCTCATTTGTCGGAAAACGACGAGGATAGTATTGTATGATAGATAAAGTGGAGTCTTGTGTTCCAGCCGTTAAGACCTATGTTTTATTTTGAACCTCATTTTGAGCTCTCGAAATAAGAAATTCCCCTCTAGAACCTGATATTATGAGTTAGTTTCAGTTTTGTTTATCAGCAGCGGTTATTTAAGTCCTTAACACTGTCTGTTATCAAATCATCAGCTGTCAACAATAGCATTATCACCAATCAAGCGCGTAACAAAAGCCATGTATGTGAAGAATAATTTTAGACTAAGTATTAGCTCTGAACAACAGAAATTATCTAAAAATATAAAAGATCACATCATTACCTGTCAACAACTGAAGCATATCGTCAAGCAAATAATAGCAAAAGCCAACTCCACCTAAATTTCCTCGGTAACTGAGAGGCACAGAAACCACAGCGGATGTAGAAAGGTCATTTTCAATTCACGTGAATAATATTTTCAGGATCATGCCCGGTGTACGTTCCGTCATGCGAGGCTAACAGCGCTCATTAATTAGGATCGGTTCGTGATGATCAAAATAAATGCCTTTTCTTTACAATGGTATGACGTCTTTAGTTCATACTATGGTTTGATAGGGTATCTTTCGCACGAACTCCGTCCTTTTTTCCTCCGCTAACAAAAGACTGGTTCAGCGAGAATGTGACTGTGATGATCAGAAAACCACCTTGAGATGGAAGCTTTGACACATTGACGGGAAGATCCTACGAATTAAGTGTCTACGAGCAGAAAAATACAAAAAATGTGAAATGTCCAAAGCACTTAGCGGTATTTTATAAATCATGACATTTTCTAATGGATGACGTCTGTGATGTGCTCTTTTCTGGCGTCGAGGGTTTGTAAGCTACTTACTTGCTATCAATTTGCATTTATCTAAATGTAAACATTATGTTTGTGTCTGCACCACAGTGAGCCTACGCGTGAGACAAAGCTTTTTTGGTTTTTCTTATTTCCTTATTTGTCGTCTTTATGAATATTCTAGAATAATTTTTGAACCATGCCTTAGGGTGATTTTAAGTTGTAAAATGGTTTGAAATATCAAGAGCGCGACAGTTGTGTGAGTCTTAATGAAAAAAAACGAATGGGTTGATCTACAATGTCACTCATACCACGAAAACCGTTGACGGGAAAATAATTTACATCGTCTGAACGTGATAAAAGTGCGATAACAACGAAGCACAGAAGTTAAAATCAACAATTTTTCATTAACAAATGCACTTGTCACGAAAATACATGAGCTGAATCCATAGTTAAGAAAGCATGCGTGTGTTCTGACACTTTTCATTACAAGTAACTTGAAGAAAAAACATCTGCTTAGGTGGACTTTCCCCGCACACTTTTCCAATCTAGTTCCTTGATCAGTCTCTGTATTACAAAAAACTGGCATGTCACTCACTGCCAATCGTACATGTTTAGGAAAAATTGTTGAGGGAAATCTTGCCTTTGAAAATAAGTCCTAAGGAAATCATACTCTCCTACTTTAAAATTCTTTGCAGTGCAGCTGAGTAAATTTTTTAAATACCCAGGTTTTTGATGACGAGATCAGGAATGAAGACTATTTCTATTATCAATTACACAGTGGGGAAGTCTTTGTTGATCACATTACTGCCAACGATCAGTGTGGATTCTGCTTACAATTACTTTTGCCAAATGCACGTAAACAGGCACTTTATGTACCTTATACAGGCCACATCTGACGGACAGAGAATGCCGGCAGGAATTGCTGGCACTGCTAAAAACAAGCCGCTTGATCGATAATATTCGACTTTGCTTTGCTGGAAACTTTCTACCACGTGGCCGAAACTGATGACGTATTAGATATCTGCAATAGAAAGTCATTCTTTCAACTTCCTTTCTCGGTCAATTTTGAGATGACGATCGTATCTTTTCAAATTGTCAGCCTATTCTTTCGACTTAAGAAGGATGCTATGCCGTTGAAATCATCACTTTGGCTACTCTTATCTGTATCTTATATACGTCAAGGCGAGATTCAATGTCGCATGTGTTGCCGCTGCCAACCTTGCTGGCGCAGAGCTCTTGTTTAAATATACAAGAGAATACAGACAGTTTATTATCTCTTGATATATATTTAAATTTAAAACTAAATTAAAATAAAAGAGTAATATATATATATGTATGTATGTATGTATGTATGTATAAAGAGTTGTGAAACTCCCTTTATGGTTGTAGTCATCTTTACCAATATAACCAGTCGAGTATCGAGACTATCGTGTTCAGGTAAAGGCAAATCTATTGTGGGTGTGTCTTTGGAAGCCATCAAAGCGAGAAAACCCTCTAGCGGTTTCATTACCGGCGTATAGCAATTGAGGGATAGTATCTTGTCTCTGCTGATCAGACGTTCTGTCAGACCCAAGGGGGTCGGAAAGGACACATTGATTAATTGTTCGACAGCTTGATTCATCGTGTTTTGAGCATCGCTGTCACGCTCGGATTCTTTTCAATTTAAACCCAGCTCATTATCTCATATCGGTCAAGTTTTGAACCGATCGGAAACCTTCTGAGAGTCAGCGAATAAGCAAATCTCAAAGCCACCCAGTATTGCCATGGCACTGCTCTTAAAATAATGTATAATTTTGGTATTTCCATCGCTTTATCACAACCTAAAAGATTATTAACATTTTGTCACGAAATCAGTTTAGTGGCCCCAGAAAACTGAAATGGCGATTGAATCAAAGTTTGAACTTCGCTGTTTTTAACGCGGTATTTACGTCCCGCTTCTTATTGCTAACCAGGTTAAGTTATCGAAATAAATTGTCATTTAAAGAACATGTGGTGGCAAGTATAGGAGGAGTAAACACGTGGCCAATTGTTTTCGTTTTGTTTAAAAACTCTTGTTTACATTAAGACTCGACAATGCTTCAGTGTTTTCGTTTATGAGAGCGATTATGGCGATATCAAGTTATAATAATGTTTCTACTTTACGCCAAAACGTCGTTTTGTGGCGCAAATCAAGAGTTAATACCTCTTGAAGCGATATCGACGTAAACCAGAATGTTTTAGGTTCTGCGTATAAAGCGTAAACGTATGGTCTTTGCGTGATGAGGCGACCCCCCATGCGGAAAAGACTTACACTGAAACGAAGATTTCCCTCGAAATTTAGGGAAAATCAACTTGAAATCTTTTAAGGCTCTTTGGCAAACGTGATGGTGAGGTTACGTTTAAATGGTAATTTGATCTTTGTCGATGGCTTGCAACAAACGTGATTGTTCCACGCCTGAGACATTAATAATAACAGCGGTCGTGTATGTCGAATAATCATTTGGCTGAGTAAATTTATGTCTCCCTTGAAATGTATAGAAGATATCAATAAAGGTTTGCTCACCTATAAAAACTCTCATCATCCCAACAGTTGCGTTCAAAAATTTCCTTAGGATGATTCATAAAATTTACACGCGGTCTTGATGTTGAGCCAGTGTGGCTTGTCGACAAGGTGATGTCTGTCACGCAAAAATGCAATAGTTTTCTTGTATATGCAAATTTTCCTCCAATGATTGGGCAGGTGCTAACAAAGAAAGCCTGAGCTTTTGAAGAATTAATGCAAAGTCAATTGACCGGAATAACAAAACGTCATCTGGACGAAATGTCAATAAAACCTGATTTGGGAAAAAGCCAACTCGTCACTGCACCTCGTCGGCCGTGTCTGCTGAAGTCGGTATTCGCCTGCGCGCATTCTAAAAGTGACAGATAATTTGTTTATACGCCCTTTTAAGTGACCCATGAACGAAAGCTATGCAAATTTCGCAAACAAGAAGAAAAATCGTTTTAGGCAAACTTCACTTTCAGTTTGAAAGTTAATGCCACTGTCTGGAATTTTCTGTCACATGTTCAGATTCAATTTTTTATTTTTTTCTCTGTTTCTCTGTTCTGCTCTGTTCTTGCGTATTCTGAGAACCTTCTTGTCGTGAAAAAATTTTAATGGAAAAGTCATATCATGTATCTTTAATAAGACGCCAACTTCATAATCGATGGCGAAATATAATGAAATATTAAAAAACACTCAAATACAGGTTGACAGATCTTTCTTTTATCTACATTGCGGTCGTTGAAAAATAATTTACACATATAGTTTTCAACCCCAAAGGCTTGAAGTTTACACTGGTAATGCATATTTTATGAAAATACAATTTCAAAGAGTAGCAGGTTGGCGCAGTTTTTCAGCCAGCGAAAAAAGAAATACATAAATTAACCACTCTATTGCTAGTTTTCAAGACATCACATTTTTAATTATTGGGTGAATATACCATTATTTTTTTTTGGCTAGATATTCTTCCCAATATTCTTGGTCCTTTACGATTATCGGCAACATACTGAACAGAATCAAAATGAACAAATTTTATAGATACTTTTTGAATTTTTTCTGTCATCACTGAATCGCAGCCATGTCGATCACTACCTTTTTTCGGTAACTTTTTGGTGGTCAGTTTAGTTACAAAAAGGAATTGATTTAAGTTGCCATTCCTTCCGTTGAGATGATAAAATCAAGTTCATCCAAAGAAATTATTACTATGTAACTTAAACGATTTGTAATTTTTCACCAAAACCCAAAGATATGCACGTTTTTAATTAACTGGGTGATGATTCTAGACGTTTTATTCGATCAGCTCAAGTTTTCATTAAAACAGCATCATTCTAAAGGGTATTTGGCTCTGTACCTCTGCCAGCATGCATTTAGAATGTTGTTTTTCATTCTATACTATAATCCTAAATCATACTTTCGGTCCACTTGGAACACAATCGAATCCTTATTATTTACATTATGATATTTGTCAAAATTGTTTTAAGGGTTGTCGGACTAATTCTGAGTGAAACCGCTGATTAACAATTAATATTGATAATTACAAGTTATGCCTTCATTGAGTGGAAGAGACAGGCGTATACCTACAGCCATCATTTTGAAGATATTAGTCTCCGACACCTCGTTTTCATCAACCAGCAAAACCAAAATTCTAAATCAGTTCCAATTTTGACTTAGAGAACAGTGGGCTAGGAACCACCTTATTACTGCCTCTGGTATAAAATTCCAATTCGATCTAAACCCAGAGAAAATATCAAGACCAATATTTTCTCTTAATTTCGACATATGTATCTAGAAGGGGAAAAGAACAGCGTACGGCAGATACACATGCTGTCTTCCATAGAATAGTTTAAGGTGTTTAATCTCGCGTGAGAGAGTAAAAAGAAAATAGGAAATAAAGAAATAAAATTACCTTGATTTTTCTGAAATTTGCGTGTTGCCTCTGTTTGAACTCTCTTGTAATTATCATGCTGTTAAGCCTCTCTGACTTAATGGTACAGTTTTTTAAAACATTCTCTAAAAAAAATAACTTTTATTCTAACAAATTTTCACTTTATGACTTCCTGCCTCTCAAAAACCCCAAAACGTCGTTATATGTGTGTGTGAATCCTAGCACTGGACATGTGTAAAATCCCAGCCGTCTCCTGCTTTGTCCCTAGGGTAACGACCAAGTATTCAAATAAGTTTATCTTTTCATTTTTAAGTGCGAGAATGTGACTTTCCTTAGACCCATTCTCAACTGACCGCTCACATTAATAGCTGGAGATATTCGTGTGTCTGTCTTGAAGGTATTAAATTTTGATGCTGTGGACATTGCTACAGCCTAAGGGTATTACTTACCGAGACTTTACCTACCGAATACACAGGAAAGACCAGCAACTGAAAACCTTTACATTGATTCCATGCATGGTTGCAGAGCATCGAACTATCAGCAATGATGGTATATTTATCCGAGCCTCTTTGTTTGACGATTGAACATAATCTTTGCCACGAGGAACTTTAATTTCTTTATCTATTAACATTGGGAAGTGCTAAGGACCAAGCTTTTGTCAAAATACACTTCTTGGCTATCAATCGGAGAGTAAAAATATAAATAAGATCAGAAGATAGGAGCTTTGCTTTTAAGTGAAACATTGTTTTCTTGTAAACTTTCTCTCGGCATCGCATACATATATGCTCGACGACAGCCAAAAAAAAAAAAAAAAGCTGAACGAAAAATGTCTCTAAGTATTTTAGATAGAGGCGTTCAATTTTCTTATTTTGTATTCATTCACAATTTATCCGTTTCTTCACTTACAGACTGAACTCTGCCGATGTTTTTAAAGAGTAGATTAGTGTGGTTTTACCCTTTTTTATTAACTTCTTGTCAAAAGTGCGCTTCAGATGTGACATTAATGATCATTTACCCAATAAGTTCTCAGTTCTTCCTCTTTGAGGTTGTCGGAATGACATTAGCCATTGGTCAGGCTACAAATGGAAACGAATGTTAATAAGATGTAAAAAACCATTGAGATTTTACCTCTAAGAAATATAAATTATGTAGGATTTCACAGCAAAACAAAGTTCAAAGCTAGCCGTTGATATATAAGTAAAAATGATTATTTGCAGACACTTTTTCAATTAATTTCTTCAGAAGCAGTTATGGCAGGTTAGTTCATCCTTGATAAGATAAGATATATAAAGATAAATCCATCTCTTATGTCGATTGTCAAATATTACACGCCAACAATCAAGTTTTGTGAAGAATTACTTAAAGAATAATTTTAGCTGTCTCCCGTCATCGGTCCGTGGCTAAATTTTTAAAGCTATCATGCCTGTCATATCTAATCGAGGACTTTCAGCAAGGTGTTTGAATTAAATTTGTTTTCGACGCTAAAGAAATGTGCGACTAAGCCGAACGAAGAACATTGTGATTGCAGTGAAGAGAATTAAGAATAAAAGAAAAACCATTTAAAACTATTTACAGGAAAAATGTGACAAAACTTTAATCGTGATCGGTGTTTTAAAGTCCACTTGCAATGAAGTCGATTTCACAAGACATTAACCAAATTATCATGCAATAAGCTTGTATGCGGGTTCTGTCTTAGTCGATCTGGAAGTGCCGAACATAGTAATAGTAAATATATATGGCTCTTACTTTAAAAGACAACGATTTATACCTTTTCTCTTCATGCCGCGGAAGTTAAGGAGGAAGAATAACTCTACGCAGTGTGAGGACGAATTTGTTGATATTTGTGCTTAGTTTCTAGACTGAGTGGAGAAGTTCGCCGAGAAGGGGTTGGTTTCATGCAATAGATGTCTTAACCCTCTACTCCCAGGAGTGACTAAAATATTACTTCTCCCTAAGATATCCATACATTATCCAGCAAACAGGCGATGAGAATACTCAAACTTATCAGGTAGAATTTGTCATCTATAGTTCTTGCACGAAATTATTGTAACCGGCAATTTACAAGGAAATGTCTCGCAGCTAAAGGATAAAATTAATTAAGGAGAAGAAATTGGGAGTGAAAAGGTTACACTAACAAGTACAGATAGCAATGGCAACCAAATGAGAATTATGTCTGACGTAAACGCTAGATTTTGTCTTTTCCAGGTGAATAAATAGCGTAGATGTGTCTGGAACAGTCATTTTGAAATACACGTCTGATGACGCCATTATCATTTCTAACTGCATTCAGTTAGCGTTATTGTCACTGGGTCGTGAGTTATTTTACTGTGTAATGCTGCGGCTCGAGTGATTTTTCAGATTCCAAAATTTGATCATATCACACCTGCACTTATCGACCTATATTGGCTCCCAGTAACGTTCAGAGTTCTGTTTAAATTGCTCCTCTTTGTTTACAAGTCGTTATACAACCAAAGTCCTCCCTACATTAAAGATCTTTTGTCCCTGAAACCAGCTACTAATCATACTCTTCGCTCGTCTGCTCAATCGCTTCTGTTCATCCAAAAGCCAACTGCTCTTAACTTGGGGATCGGGCCTTTGCTCATTCTGCACCTGTTTTACGGAACTCGCTGCCATTAACTATAAGAACACCTCGCCATTTTTAAAAAGCAACTTAAAACATATCTATTTAGGAAAGCTTTCAGTTTGTTTCAATAGTTCTAATGTTTATTGCCTTTGAATATTTTAATTTTAATTGGTATAGAACTTTAACTTATGTAAAGCGCTTCTGAATATTGTTTATAGTTTTAGCGCTATATAAATTCCTTATCATTATCATTATTGTCTTTTCAGCCACCAAGTGAGCTTACACCGACTTCCAAAGATTGATAACAGTCAAGCCCACAAGACGTGGTGAGAGGTGGTAAGAGGTGGTTTTACTGGGTCGTGGATTATTTTACTGTATTTCAGTAAGCTTACACCGACTTCCGAAGATGGATAAGAGTCAAGCCAACAAGACGATCCTAAGAGGCGGTTTCAACAGCTCAGCTGGTTGTCATGAGAAAGATAAAAATGCCTCTTGTAGCACTGAAATAGGTGCGTAAAGCCCCAGTGTCATTCTGCACGATTGTGCATTAATTGGTAACATAGCGCCTCTGAGACCTAGACTCTGGAGTCCATGGTTTCAATTGGACGTTGGAGTTTGCAAACTTCTAGATATTTTAAAGTTTTCTCTTTTAGATGACCCTGGTCTTCTCCATCAATGTTGATATGTTTATACATCTAACCAAGTATTAAAACGTAATGGAGCCATTCACTTTCTCAAATCTTACAGAAAAAAGATGAATAAGCCAGGGTATAAAATGATCAAGTTATTTGACTTTCCTTTCATGCTACAAGAAACAACGAAAAACCTGCACCTTTCGAAAGAGCATGCAGACGTTATTTACCCCTTAAGCTCTGTTATCAATCCTTCTCCCCCCCCCCCCTTTTTTGTTTGTTTGCTATTTTTCGTCTTTCGTAGATAAACGATTGATAAAAAAGATGGGTTTAGTCAAATTCATCAATGGGCCACTTAATAAATAAAAAGAAATATTCTTGCTCTATTCCTGTCTCTTCTGCTAGGTCCCAGTTACGAAGAATGTGAGATAAACGTGGCGGTTGTAATTATAGTAATTCTTGTTATCGTGGGTTGGTTCATTGGATACCTGTTCCTCCAGAAGGTGCAAGAGAAAAAAGAGGAAGGGACTAGTTCGACACCACAGAAAAGACGAAATTTTAAAATACCATAATATGTCAAACTGATCAACTTTTAATATTAGTGATCATTTTAGTTATGGACTTCGTTTCACCTCGTCGAGGATAGCACAGTAGATATTGTACATTAGGAAAGGCGACAGATTTCTTGGTTAAGGTTATACTGTCAAGTTTTTTGGACCGCATCTTGCACAAAGTTTCATAGTATTCCAATGGTTTTGAGTTAAGTGACCAACAGAAACTTTCCTAAAGGTTATTAAGTAGAATCAGTGAACAATAACACACTAGGATTTTGCACGGTTAGGGAGCTTTCATCCTGAACCACGGGATAGTTATCATCATCTTTCATTTTGGTTGGCTTTCACAACTAGTAACCTATGCTGACTATAATGAAAATCAACGAGGTAAATATCAAGAGAGAACGCGCAGACAGGAAAAAAGAGTTTCCTTTGAAAATAGAAACAAAAGTGTAAAGGCTCTTGTCTTTGAAAGCAACATCAAAATATTATGCGGCTTTTGTAGTGTTGTGCGAGAGGACGCGTTCTACACAGAGAGAAAGTATGTTTACTTGTAATAAAAAGTTTCCTGAAAGAAACATGTTTAAGATAAGGTGTCTTCCCTGAGCTGTAACAAAGTGACAAGATGAAGTTTTGTTTAAGTACCTCGAGTACAGAAGATGATTTGGATCTCCCTCACAAACGTGTATAAAGAAATCCATTCAAAAACATCCCAACGAGTCCTACTCTTAAAGTTATTGAAGGTATCCTTGACAAAAACCCTTCATTTCCAAATAAAAACTCTCTGGGATTCAAATGTATAGTTAGCACCACTGACTAAGACTGCTTTCTCGATGTTACAAGTCCGTTGAGAGTGGAACAAACTTTGCAATAGTTTGAGTACATTCACGGGGCGTCCTTTTTTATTACCGCTGAAACAGTCCCAAATGTCAGTAATCGGAACTTAACCCTCGAGGAAATAGGCAAGTCACTCCAGGCAACTAGAGAAAACAACGAGGGCTAAATTTGTAAGAAACCATAAGAAACTGTTCACTTGCATCTTTCCTATCGAGTTACGTGGAGTGTGAAGCGTCGGTGGATTGGTGCCTCCATTTGATGAAGGTTCCTCTGCCGTGCTGGATATATCTGAAAAGACAAAAAGAAGGCAAAACTGATTTGACCTATGCGAAAAATTTATACAAAATTCTAGTTACGATGTATATCGTTACAGTTTTACAGTTTTAAACTTAAAAATTCTATGTTCTGTCTAACTTACATTTATTTACCGGTTTCAGCCTTTAAAACGTGGTGTTAAAATCGAACAATATCCCCTGATTTATTTGTTATAACCTTCTGTTTAAGAATGTGATAGTATTGTGTAAAGAAACTCCTTCAAGTTCATCCCTGTGGTTTCTCTTTTCATAAAAACTTCTTCAGCTCGAATTTAACTATTCACCAGGCAGAACATCAATGTAGGGCATCAAACCTGTTTTTGCGGTCTGTGAACTTTGTTCCTCACTGTCTTTGGCAGTTGTCGGCGTTGTTGTTGTAGATGACTCTGACCATGGACAGTAAACACTAGGAACAGACTCCCCTATTAATAAAAAAAACAACAACAACAAACAAACAAACCATCAAAAAAAGTAAATAGTAAAATATGGTACTGGGGCTGGTGCACAGATATGCCTGAATATTTAAGATACAATCGAGCAATAACGTTAACCAATCGCGTTTCCTACAGGATCTTGGGCCAGCAAAAGGTGTTGATGATGAACGCATCACTCCGTCTGCGTTGAAGCTTTGTTACATGTTACAACCACTCCCTTTAGGACACTGCTGTTATGGGTATATATTTCAGATCATTCTTTCCAATGTAACTAAACCATCGAAGTTTTTTTAGAGAAAGTAGAGAACTGTGCACTGAACGTGCAAACGCAAAAGTTGCGGCGTATTTAAAGGAGCTATAAAACCAAGTGTTGGTCGTGAATTTTGGATATCTTAGCGTTGTTCCTGCATATTATTAAGGCATGATGCGTTAAAAACATTGCAATTTCATTGCCATGGGTTCCGATCTCATGATCACACCATACACCACAAATGCGAAATAAACAAAGCATTTCTGCGGAATAATTGTGACAGGTTTTAAAAAATTGATCCTTTTAATACAGTGATCATTACTCTTGCACTCATTGAATATGAGATTAGTTATGAACGATTCATTTCCAATGCTTGTTCATGGAAAAACTACTAAATATTCTTGTAAAAAGGGGACCCAACTGGATAGATCAAGAAATTTGCAGGCAAAGGAAAATTTTCTTGTTTCGAAAGCTGAGTCTTTCAATTTCTAGTACCTTTAGTATCCTTGTTGTTATAAAAGGTACAATGGCAAACCGTGAATCAACACTAAAGACAATGAACATGTTGGGTGCTGCTTTTCAGGGGCAGCTTCTCATTGGTTGTGCCATTAAAGAATTTTGCAGATCAGACAGAAAACCCCTTCACTTACTTGGCAATTTTGTTCATTGAGTCTTTGTACCTGTACCCACAAGTGCAATATATGAACTCATTTTAACTCTTGAGAAAATAGAACAGTAAGTAAACAGATTACTCACATGCTTCTAAAGGTACAAATGTGTAAACTGCTTGAAATCCCTTCTTATTTGAATGACTATCAGATTTAAACGTCACCACGATATCACGTCCAAAATGACTTTTCACCTTCCATTCACCTGGCTGTAATGTTCCACATTTCTTTTGCGCGTAGTCTTTGCCGATAGCAACCTTGAAAAAAAAAAACAGTAGTTTATAATTTTATACAAAAAAATGATGATTGTCTTTAGATTAGGAACGAGGGAATACTTCAGTGGGTTGTTCGAAAACCTCACTGACCGAAAAAAACCTTCAAGGGGTACCCTTATCCTACCTGACACTTGCGATACATCATCAGTCCCTCTTATTTATCCACAGTTACTACAGTATAGAAATTACTCACCTCAACATAGTCGCAAGAGCACGAGCTTACACAATCTTCGAGATCAAAGTCCAGGAAATTTAGATAAATCTTGTACCCTGCAGGGATTGAAATATTCCAGCCGCACTGAATATTATCAGGATAGTTGGCAGGGAAGTTCGGACTGGAAAACCATCCACTCGTGTTCGTCAGTTGTGTCATCTGAAGGCACGCTTTTGAGAAAAGTATAGGGTTAATGCAATATCTATTTGCGGAAATAAGAACATAGATGGAAACGGGAATGAAAAACTAAGAAATCAGTTACTCTGAGAAAAGAAACAAAATAGGTCAATAAGTAGGCTAGATCCAGATCATCACCTAAGGAGTGTTGTCTATTCGTTCGTATGGCTTAACTGATGTGATACTCCGAGCGACCGTTGTCCAAAGAAAAAGAGACTGTTTTCATAGTGTCCCGTTTTTTCTTCTTCTTTCTTTTTTAAGCTAGACATACAACTACTTTTGCATAGATGGGTTTAAAAGTATCCTACCCCACTTCCAATCGAATAAAAAGAATAAATAGATTTCAAATTCCACCAACCTTCATCACGAAATACATTATGATAATCCGCCACGAATCCTCTTGAGGTTTGCTCATTGGTCAACATGGACAAAGAGATTTGATTGTCCACTGAAATAAACGGCGTTACCGAAGAAAATGGACAAAGATGCTGATCGCCTACTGTGACTTCACCAATATCTAAACTACTACATAGACCGTCCGCGCATGGCGTGGACGACGAAGCGCTGGGCGGGCAGATACCGAGGCATATCCGGTAAAATACGAGAGTGAGCCGCGATCCGGCTGGTCCTGTTAAATTCCACGTGCACTCCATGTCACTCGGGTAGTTCAATGGGTAAAATGGGCTGGTAATGGATCCTGAGGTTCCATTGGAATTGATATTTCCGGGGCAAACTGTAAGGGTTTATGTCAACAAATGAACTTTTCATGGAATTCGTATATATTCACTTATTATAGCTATTTATATTTATAGCTTATTATATATTTATATATATTCACTCATATTTACTTCAAAATATAAACCCTCGGTAGAATCGTCAAGACAATAAATTCTCTATTAGAAAAAAAATCCCTGCAGCTTTAAGACCCGATTTAAAATGCCTGGTGAGGACTCGTAGCGGCAAGCCCAAGTTTCAGGTCACCACGTATGAAAGATAAACATTAACACTCTAACTCCAAGGATCTCGTTGGTAATTCTCCTTACTGTCTACCATACATTTCTTGTTGTGTTACTTTGGAGAATTTGGTATTGGATCAACTAATAATCCCCTAACTAATATTTTTCTTTTTTCTCATCACTTGTCTGCTTCATGTTGTCCTGATATTTTAAGGAGAAATTCTGTCTTGGTAACTCATGGGATTTAAAGAGTTGAGGCTGTCAATGGAAGATTAAGAAAATCTTAACGATGTCTATCAGCATTGCCATGGTGCATAGTCAAAAAAGATACAAAAAGCAGGATCGGAAATTCTTTTTAAGAAGTACGTTAACAAACATGTTAAAATAAGAAAAACTACTTACAAGATGGATCAAGAAGCTTCTTAAAGGAAGCTTGGAAGGAATTGCTTGCTTGAGTTGAACTGTATTCCACCCACATTTGACTTCCAATTGAACGGAACACAGAAGGACCTGGGTTTGAGCTGCACATTTTCTTCAACAAGGTGCTCGTGTTACTCCCACCATCTCGAATCTTTGGAATAATGAAAAGAATAGTCAGCGAAACTAGATTGTTGCGAAATGCTTAAAAAACGCAAAGGTCAATTTTGTTATCGCACAGTACATTATCATTTGGTATTTCCCAAGAAAAACCCAGCCTATACACGAAGAAGTTCCCCTTTTTTTTCTTCTCACAACAGCTGCTTCTAGAAGAGTAACCATATTTCTTCACACAGTCATCCGCTTATACAGCATAGCAATAAGAACGTGGCTATAATTACCTGTACATAGTCATTAACACAGTTTGTGTTACCAACAGAAGCGATGTTATTCTTTGATATAGTGAGTTTAACAGTATAGTTTTCAGGCACTGTGATCACCCATGAGCAAGTGTAGGCAGCACTAGCTTGTATAATCCGATCTCCGTCATACGGCACCTGAGCATTGCTGGAGCAGTCTGTAAAATAGAATACTTTTCGATGTAGTGTCGTACATCAAAGGAATATCAACTGTTGATATCCTCTTGCGTACATGTAATACCAAAACTAAAGTTATCCTTTCAGTCAGTCAAAACAAAGGGAAACATCATAAGGAGCCAATGAATTCCAGTAGTTAACGAGGTCACTCTGGCTCCTAACCAATCATAGAGCGTTATTTTGTACCATCTGACGCAAACTGACCAATCCTATGACATTATTGGAAAATTACCCATAATCTACTTCTTCCCTAAATGACCTTCCCTAAGTTATCTGGGACAATCGCTGCTAAATCTGAAGGATGCCAATTTGTTCCTCTGTAGTGTGCCTTAAGTCTCACACCTTATGAGGAGTTAGTTTGATTGACGCTTTTTATTTTGAAATATTTATTCAGAAACATTTTAGGGTATAACAGCCACAAAGGCTTGAATAGCTTAAAAGGTGACTTGCTAATCATAAAAGTAACTAGCTGTGAATACATACCGAAGGCAAGTAGATTCTTGGACTGTGCAACAATGATAATAGATGCTGTCCAATGAAACAGATACATGAAGTATTTCAATTCAATAACACCACGAGACATCTAAAGCACTAAATGAACAAATTTAGCCAACCAGGCTCGATTGGAAGTATGGTGAATTCAACTAAATCCCGCATCAGCCTAGCAACTGACGAAAAATGACAATACATATTTTTGGCGCAATAAAAATATAATTAAACATTAGGAGCATTGAATGATACCCGTGAACTGTGAACAGAAAAGCCTAACGAAACGCTTCAGGCTTATCAGGCCTAGGGATGGATTATCCTCCCATCCAGGGGAAGTGACAATACTTCAGGGCCCTTCATGCTAAAGAGACCGCCTGACTTGAGTGCAGACTAGTAAAGGAGGTCAATACTGTGCATCAGTTACCATTTGAAGTAATTGTCTCATCCCTAACTATACTGTTTCTTTAATAGCATATTCATGCCCCTATAGGCTTTTTTTTTACTCCATTATTTTATCATTTTAGGTTTTTAGAATTAAAAGGTACTTTTCTTTTGCTCTTCTAAAACACCAAAGGCAAATTCAACAAGTTAAACATTATCTTAGTTCCTTTCAATCGCTCATCGTGGGATGCGGGGAAAAAATAGAGAGAAAAAAAATCCTTAAACCGTCGTAAGCACGGAAAAATATACGTACCAAAAAACCAAATCATAATGGATACGTAATCACCATGACATCTTCGATTGATAAACATGAAATGAAAAAATTAAAAATGGTTTCTGTTAAATCAAGAACTTTGGAGCACTTAATTAAATTCAAAGGCACAATGTTACATTCAAAGACATTTCTGGGAAGAAATGGGTTACCATGTAATAGGGAACGCTACATGAATACAGATATATTTTTTATTTCTGATTCAACTATGCATGGCGTTCTCAATTTCGCGCTTAGTGGTTGAATAAATTCATCAATAATAGATGTCTCGTTTACATAGGGAAAAATAAAATTATCACAGGATCAACTTGGTCACCAACATTAAAATTTGTCAAATCGCACGGAATACAAGATGATCCGGTTGCGTGACTGTGAAGGTGCAAAGGTGTCAACATCTACCGCTTTTCTAGCGACACCTAACATTTTTAAGTTTAAAGTTTAGACAAAAAGACGATATGAAGGAGGCAAAAATATTCAAATATTATTTAGCTGAGGATGGATAACATGAAAACATAACTTTTGTTTCATTGGTAACCAGTTTTTGTTAACACGCTATTAACATTAACATTAAACATTCATTCCCCAATAGAGCTGATATCGACTGTCTTACCGCTGTCCTATCGACGAAAATAATCGGTCCAATCGACCAAATTTTCGTCCCAGAGTGAAATGAAAGTAGAGTTAGGGGTATAATTTAAGATACCTTCTAAAAACGAGGTCTCTATGCGAATTGTTTTGATAATATGTGACCACTATTGGAGAGTATCGGAAAGTATGTGTGTTGTACAAGTGCAATTTATTCTCAAGAAGTCCGCAATCAGAGGCCAAAATGTACACAAATTGGTCAATTTCTACTTTTTCTGCTGTGGCATTAGCAGAAAGAACCGATCATTTATTTGCTTCGAGCAGAAAATTTATCATTTTGTCTATGGCGTCCGAATGAATTTTGGGCGGATAGAACATGCGTTGTTGAAATACAGTGATACCAGATAATTCATCATTAATATTTCGATTTAAAACGCTCTCCTAAGCAAAATAAGTAAGTAAAATAAGAACACTGAAAGAGAATTTACCTCTATAAAACCTTTGTGACGAGAATCCAGTTTCTTGTTTCTTACCTTACGCGAATGAACTGAGGCATCACCAGAACACAATTGCGTGACTGGTGCAGTTGCACGCTCATCGGTAATTTGAATTGCTAATATTGTGCAAAATTAGCGACCGCCTGTAGTGTGTTTTTGTTAAAAGCTATCGCTTAATTCAATGCATAGAACCTTCAAACGCAAAGGATTGCCCCTAAAAAGACTGCATGCGATATTCTACCTTCTCCAAACGGGAAAACTTGGTACATGCGTGGTGCTTGGTTTTATTTTCATATATAACTTTGTGTCATTTTATTTTATTTTATTTCGTCTATTGGCTTGTTCTGTAAAAATTTTATTGTTTGGTTTATTACGTTCTTTTCATTCATTTGCATATTTCATTTAATCATGTTTTACTTAACATCATTTTTGGACTCAGCAGGATATAGATAGGGATTTTATGGATATTGAAAGATTTTTCAGGGCATTCTGAGGGATTTTCTTTACCAGAAGAGAAGAAAAACTGCTTTTTACATTTCTCAATAAAGCAAAGGGGTTATGGGATATGATGTGTGCACCCAAACTTCGTGAGTGAGCTGTGTTTGTGTGGCTCTTAGTTTGCACCAGTAAGGGAGCAATCATTAGTTATCACCCTGAGGCCCCGTCCACACGTATCCGGATAAATTTGAAAACGGATAAATATTTATACGGTTACGGGTTCCGTCCACACGTAAACGGCGTTTTCACACACCGAAAACGGATCAATTTGAAAACGCTCTCTAGAGTGGATAAATTTGAAAACGCTGGCTAAGCGTCTCCGTGTGGACGCCTTATCCGAATAAATTTGAAAATGATTTGAAAACGATGACGTAACAAGAAAATGAAAGTAAAATAAAATTTGGATTTCTCGTCATTCTGGCACCATCACCATTGATTTTGATTTTATCAGTGATGGGGTCAAAGTCACTGTTTTGCTTCAGGAAATTAGAGATATGTATTTTAAACACTGTTTCAACAGAAGTTACTTTGGCCCCTTCAAACTTAGCATTTAGTGGTTCAATTCTACACATTTTGTTCAATTAATCACGGCATTGTTTGACGTTTACGTGTGGACACCAAAAACGATTCACAAACGGCAACGTGTGGACGCGGATAAATTTGAAAACAGATAAATATTTATCCATTTTCAAATTTATCCGGATACGTGTGGACGGGGCCTGAGGGGAGGGAGAGAGGGGGATTTCGGGGATGCAATGATTTTCAGGGGAAACGGAGGGAGGATCGCCAACAGAGTGCAAAGGAAGTCTTAAGAGAATTGATTGACAAATTGATGGGGGGGGAGGGGTCAAAAGAATATTGCAAAGCCTTATGGTGGGATGAGGTAAGTTTTACCCTGACGCAACCAAAATCCTTCGCCCATTACTTGACGAAAATGTTGCACTGCGTAGTGATGTCAAGTGTGCTAATATTGTCTTTTTTTGTCATAGATTGTATCAGATCGGTGTCTCAAGATTGCCTGTTACCTGTGATTCAAATCATTCGTTTTACGGAGTAATTGTAAGTGTTAAAAACATTGTAGTTCCTGCTGATGTGAAACTTCTAGGCCAGGGCCTCTTTTGAAGGAATCGTAAACGTAACTACCACATGTCAATCACAACTAACATGTCAGGTGAAAGAGAACTTATCGCTCCTCTATTGTTTTCAGGTGGAGAAAAATTAAATCTTGTTGTGATTCTCCATTCGTTGCTTAAGCTAAGACTTCCTCAAACGAAATGATTTTTGGATTAAGAAAAACGGAATTTGAATCTTTATTGGAAAAAAGATGAAAGAAAAAAAAGAAGTTACTCGCAAAAAATTTACCAAAAGGAACACCATTTTCATCTGAAGTGTACCGACGAGGATTGTAGATCCATGCTTGATTGCTCAAACACTTCGTAATCTTTTCGTTTTCCTCCTTTTTTACACCTGCGTCCGGTTCGATTGACCCTCCGATATTTTGGGAGAAAAAAAAAAAAGAAGAAACATTGATGAAAACGATAAAGGATCTTTTCTATCCCACATAATGACTTAACGCTTCAATTTGCTTCTTAATTAAATTTTCAAAACAGCCTGTAAAATATGTATGAATACCCTTAGGGCTATCTATAAAGCTTTTAGATATATTTGGGAAGATTAAGTAGTTCGTGTTTGCTCACCATATCTTATATACTCTGAAAGCCCAAATATGATTGGGCGTAATTAATCATAAACCGGAATTCAAATTCAGACTTCTTAAGTTTTTTACAGGATGTAAAGAGACAAGAAAAGACAAAAAACAAAAATTTAGCCGAAGCCTTGAGACTTTTCTCTGAGGCAAATTTATTCAACATCCATAAATAATTACGGTCACTTCGCGCTAATTTCTGAAATATAATGAATGTAGCCCTTTAAGCGAAAGCTTTAAAGGTTACACAAAAAGGGGCTTTTTTTTATAGAGCTCTGTATAAGTCCTTCTTCTGATTAGATTGGTCAGTTTTTTCATGTACGAATAGTTGTTTATTTGTGCTCCGTTCATAATTATGCTCAGGCGGATTGTCATCCCATCCAATCTACCATTATTCCATTTTTATAAATGTTCGTTTTAGTCGAGCCTATTTGTCTCTGTTTGGAAACAACACCCACTATGTTTATGTAAATTCAAGATATTTACCCTTACGTAAAAAAACTGCGCACTATGCTATTGGTTTAAATGTCTTAACTTGGTGTGAAATAATTTCGACTGTCATCGTTAAGTGAACAGAACCCTTTTAAATTCGCTCTCTTAAAGTTTGTTCCTTCACCGCAAACACATTTCTCTTGTTTAATTCAGCCGGTTTCATAATTACTGAACTCTGCTACTGTAATTCGATGATTGGCAAGTTTTGAAAGCATTGCAGTTTTTTAATGCCTTCTAAGAGTAATTTTTCATCTTTTAACTGCTCCCAACAAACCCACCTGCATCGCCTATAAGCATTCAAACAGTAAGTTTGCTCATCCATGTGTAAAGCCAAGCGAGAAAGTTAAATTTTGTTCAGAAAGTTCTCTCAAACAGGGGTCATTATTCACACCGAGCGCCAGAAAAAACACGAGCAAACTTGAAAAGAATTCAAGCAGCAGAGCAATATTAAACAGGTGTTTTATCAATATTTGAATATTAGAATCAAAAGAGTAAATATGTCATCTATTCGAACAATAATGTAAGCTTTCAGGCTATAAGCTTTTCAGTGCTTTTCAACTACAGCACTCGAAAACAAGGCCCCAGGCATTGCGATAAACATTGATAGTCAGAACGTCTGAGTCAACTCACATTACACAGGCAGCTGATGTCCGATCTCCATTTTCTCACTTTCATTATTATGTTAATTAGTCACGTAAATGACCTTTTAAAAGTCCAAACATCATATGTCATTCGACCCACCAGCGCTTAATTAATTTTATCCCCGTTTGTGGTTATGGTCACAGTGCGTTTTGGACCACGAAGAAGGCGAACGAAGAATATTTGCAAAGACTGTGAAGCTTTGAAAGCAGAACTTGGTATTGATGAAGTTACGAATTCTCAAAGACTTTCCAAAGTGGAAGAGACTAAACAATAGCAAGCTACTACGACGCCAGCACACCTGAAGCATACAACAGTATAAACAAATCTACAACATGCTAATCCGGCTGTTAGAAATGAGAACACTTCGTAAACTTATCTTTCTGGTCTTTGTGAAAACAATGGTTCGTTGCACCATCAGTGGTTGGTATACCTCGAAGTTATATCCTTTCGGTAAAGAAGCTGGCGACTCACCTTTGCCTGTGCAAGATGATGTGAGCTCAGACGCAATTTCATCACCGCCGTTTCATTTCTTCGAACTGAAGGTCGAATCGTTTTACGTAAGTATTGGGCAGGAAAAAGTAATATTTTAAGGAGTGAGAATATATCTCCTGGCGATCTTTTGTAAATTTATCACTTGATTTGAATCTTCTTGAATACTTTGAATTTTCACTCACAACGAGTCTGATTCACTGAGTCGGTAGATTACAGAAGCGAAATTTTTGTTTTCCTTCTTCCCTTAGGCTTTTTTATTTCTCTTTTACAAACAAAATCAGATGGCTTCATAGTGAATGAGTTACAAGTTCGTGGGACCAGGCCAACATATTCAAAAGTTCATTGATTCAAAATGTGAACGAATCTACATGAGAGTTGAACTGCAAGCGTCAATAGATATTGTGAGCGGACGGCAAATTTACCTCTTATTTCTTTTCTTTTCCTTTCAAGCTTTGAATAGATTCAGTAGAAAAATAAAACATTCACAAAGGATGCAAATTTTGCTATATTTTATGCTCAAACCGGGATGATTAACAGACATTAAAATTCAATTTCTGCCGTTTGATCAGCGTTTGTATCAACGCGCTTTTCACGAACTTAGCTATCATCTTAGCTTTAGATAGAGCATATACGTAGACTAGCTTTAACGTCGGGTAGTCATTGAACGTAACTGTATGTGTGGTGCATGCTAGCAAGTCCTGTTTATTGTTGAATTATTTCAACTGCCAGGGAATACTTTGTTTTCTTATTGATAATGCATACTCAAAGTATCCACTTCCACCAGAGTTTTTCTCGTGTATTCACCAGTGAGTGTTATGAAATACATACCTCTTCTTTTTTTTTTTTTTTAACCACCATTTCGTATGAACAAACATCTAATGGTCATTGCAGGTTTATGCGGCCCTTTAGGGTAATTCCTAGTTTTCTCGTTGCCGTAAAATTTGATAATTTTTGTAACTTTCAATTTACTACAGTTTTCAAGTCAAATACCAGCTCTCTGATTTTAAAAGCAATGTAAACAGTACGTTGAGGAATTCTACTAGTTTTTTTAAAATATTTTTGAGTGCCCCTTTACTGTAAAACGGTTGGGTTGACCGTTGTTACCGAATGGTAGGCGGCAAGTCTCACGTATTTTGATTACGCAAACGCATAGCGTTTTCTATAATCGAAATCTGAATCACAGACATCGCAGCTCACTATATGGAAGAATTACTTTCGTGACCAAAGTAAATAATTGATGTATATTTTAGGATTGAGCTCGCCGTCAACAT